AGATATTCTTCTGCATATCCCCCAGTGCAAGCACAATGCTGGGTACTTAGTTAATGTTAAATGGATGCTTCTCATATAGAAACAGGAATAGTAATAACTTACGGTTATACGGAACTTATAAGTTTCCAAGTTCTATCACATCTGTGGTATACTCACTGAGTGCTTAGTAGGGAAGGTTTACCAGCCATCCTAGTAGAGATGAAGATCTAAGGGCAGGGAGAAATTAGATAGTTTGCCCAAACTTGCTCAGCTAATAAAGAGGGAGAGGTGGGGAATGAAGCCCGTCTCTACCTCTTGATTAGATAGTATTTCCAAATCCATTGTTTTTTATTCTCTCTGACACTGCCCTTAAAATATTTGCAGGAACACAGGCTCATTCTCATGGAAACCAGTCTGACTCTATCTATTTTTGACCTGCCTGTTTTTAGCTGGAGGTGGTGAGGCTGATGATGATGAAGAGCTACTGGTGATGATGACAGTGCTCAGCTTCCTGCCCCTTGTTGGCTTCCCCAAATAAAGAGGCCCCCAGCCTGCTTCCTTTCATTCTCAAATCCAGTTCTTCCCTAAGCCTGGCGCTTACTGGTCACTAGGCATTTATCATCTTCAGTCTGTGTTGGTTTAATGCTGGCATGAGTGAGCATCTCTTCTCTACAGTCCCACTTCAAGCAAATCCAAAATATAAAAATCAGGATTAAAACCCAGGGGGATCTGTAGACATTAACTCCTCAAGGAGGTGGCATATAACTGCCCATTCCCTAAGTGTGACTGCATGTAGTGGCTTCCTTCTAAAGAGTAACGGATGGAAAGGGGAAAAGTAACTTTGCAGTAGTGAAGCCAGGCAAACGCCACCTCACCAAGTGACCAAGGTTAACATCATCTGTGATGGGTCATAAGGTAGCCTGTGCCCTTGATATGAAGGAATGAAAATGGCACTTTACCTCTTGGGCTTCCTCCCCAAACCTACAACTTCAGTCTAATCATGAGAAAAATCAGACAAATCCATACGGAAAAACATTCTACAATATACTTGACCAGTACTCCTCAAAACTGTTAAGGTCATCAAAAACAAGGAAAGTCTAAGAAACCTTATAGTCTAGAGGAGCCTAAGGAGACAAATCTAATGACTAAATATAATGTTTTGGACAGGACCCTGGAACAGAAAAAGGCCAGTGGGTGAAAACTAAGAAAATACAAATAAAGTATGAACTTTAGTTAATAGTAACTTGCAATATTTGTTCATTGGTTGTGAAAAATGTGCCCATGCCACGTAATAGGGAAAACCGGGTGTGGAGTATGTGTGTGTGTGTTTGTATATGTGTGTGGAGTGTGTATGTGTGTGTTTGCATGTATGCAGAAGAGCCTCAAAGATAGCACAGAGAATATATATTCTGAATGTAAAAATTTTCAAAAGGGCAGTGCCATGCTTTTACATGAATATCACTGTGCTACTTGCTGTTGGAGACCTGGAAGCAGGAGCCAGGTAGTCCAGGGATAGAAACAGGGGAGCAGAGACAAAGACACAAACACAGATGACAGCTAGGCTCATGTCTTAACAATGGTGACATTAGCTAAGTGCTTCCTAATCACCTGCTTTTGCTATAGTCATGAAGCTGACTAGACCTTACTTTTGTGTGACAGCGTACAGCTTGTAAAGCCCTCTCACAGGCATTCACTCACGTGCTCTGCACGATACCTCTGCTGCTTGGGTGGAGCAAGTGTTGTCATCTCTGTGTTAAAAGGAGAGGGAAACACTACGTTCTCACCGGCCGCTGTGTGCAGGTGCATTGGCATGGCCCTCTTCATGGGTTGGCTAATTCATGTAAAATTCATGGCAATTTGGTGTTGCAGATACTACCACTTTACACATTTAGAGAGAGAAAATATAATTACAGATGAGGAAACGGAGGTTCTGGGAGTTTTCCAAGGTCACTTGACTAGTTAGTATTAGAGCCAAAAGTTCAACTTTGATGTTCTGGTCTCAAGGCTACTTCTCTTTTCATTGTCCCGCAGGCTGGATATGAGATGATTATGCAGAGTGTAGTGACATACACGGCATCTTGCCATGGATCTTAACATCTTTAATGTACCAATGAGTGAAGTGTTTTAATTAGCTTCCGTTATCAGAACCGGTTATTACATGTAAAGTGTGCTTTGCTCACTGTCATCTTTACCAGTGACTCGGAGCTGGAGAGCAGTCGGCAGTCTTTGTGCTTCTCTTGGCCTCTTGTGTGTGGATAGTGTCTCAGTGTATGAGATGGAAACCATGACTTCCAGAAAAAAGGGCTCATCAATGTAAACATGTCAAAATGAGTGTTTTTCTCTAAGGTAGTTGAGACAATCAGGTCAGTTGCTTTATAGTTATGTCTCCTTTTTATTCAAAATAGTAATGCCACCTTTCTTGCCAGGATTAGCACTGAAATCCTTTTCCTTGTCTCCACTGTGGTCTCTGAGCTCCTTCTGGGCAGGGCTGAGCCTTCTCCTCCCTGTGACCTCAGTATCCAGCACAGAGCCCGGCCCTGCAAGGTGCTCAGACTGTGCTTGTTGAGTGAAACTGAACCAAAACTAATTTTCTAAAACAGAGTTGACACTGAGGGTAGAGGCTGGTCCAGAGACATCTCATCCCCCTTGTCCCTGGCCTGAAGAAGGTGGACAACCACTTGGCAGGAAACCTTAACCAAAACTATCTCGGATGACTCACTCTTCCATGGGTTTATTAGTCATCCCCTACAGTTGTATTTATTTATTTGAGCCCATTGCACCTTGGGCCATATTTCCTGGTCCTCTGCCCATACTTCCCTTTCCCCCATTTCTTCCAGGACTGTCCAGCTCTGCCCTGAGGGCCATTCTGAACTCTCTGTCACCCAGATGTTTCTTGCCCCTTCCTCTCATCTCAGGGACCAAGCATAGGTTTTTCTACCTCTCTTCCTGCTCTGTTCCTCACTCATGAAGCCCCCTTATGAAGCAACTGATAACACAGAACCTATGAACTGGAATTCTCCCTTTTCATTCACCAATACATCTGCTTTGCTGGGTTTCAAGGCACAACCTCTTATCTCTAAGCCAGAGAGCAGAAAGAGAGTCAAAGAATCATCAGAACCTTCATTGTAATGAGGGAGACCCCAGGAAGAGCCCTTTTATACACCCCCTTTTTCTCTTTGCAGAATTGCTGCTGGGTATTGTTATCCACCACCCCATCTTCAGTTTTCCTTGTCAAAATATTAAAGGAAAAACAGCACTAGTGTGAGTAAAACAAAGAATTCATACTGAAGCAAAAAAGAAAAAAAAAAAAGAAAGAGTGCTACTCCCTTTTGATGTTTGGCCTAATTTAGAAAAATATAAACGAGCACTGTTCCATTCCTAATAGGAATAGATTTATATGCGCTCACTCAGTCAGAGTGGTCACACCTCTAGTTGCCCTGTTCTCAATTGTGTGATGGAAAGTCTGCTGGGCTGGGAGTCTAGAGACCTGATTCTATCCTGAGGTCTAAGAAAAACTGAGTATCCCTTGTTTACATCATCTGTAGATGAAAGTGCTAATTATTAAATGACTTCAGCCTTAACACTCATTTCCACCCTCATTTATTAAGCCAGCTCAACTCTGTGCTCAGCTCCAGACATGCAGTAAGAAAGACACATCATTTCTTTCCTCCAGTTCCCCACAGGCTCGTGCCCAAGATAACCCTCTCTCCCACATGGCAAGTGCTTCCTGAAGCCTTTGGTATGTGGCTGCCACTTCTGTCTTCTTAGACTGTGAGCCCCCAGGGGCAGTGGTTATTGCACTTTCTTCTGTCTCCCACCACTCCCGGCACCAAGGTCTGCAAACAGTGAACACACAAGGGTTTTAGAAGATGCCTTGTAGGCCAAGAAGGCCCTTCGCCTACAGTACAAGCTTTCAAAGGCTAGATGGCACTGTTGCTAGAGCCAAATCAGGTGTGTCCTGAAACAGTGGGAAGGAGGGAAGAGAGACTAGAGGAGGGGGCCCTGGAGCGTTCACCAGCTGAGTTTGATTCAGATGCATTGCAGAAATGCTGGACTCCTACCTTACCAGCATAGAGCACTTTGCCATTTCCGTGGCATCTTTACAAACATGGCTTCAGATGGTCTTCACAACAACTCTGTATTAATTCTAACTCTGTAGAACTGCAGCTCAGAGAAAGCAAGTGCCTGGATTAAAGTTATATGGCAATCAATTGGCAGAGATTTTTACCATTTATACATATCTGTTGGCCTCACCCTACCACACGAGGGTCTTCAGAATATGCCAGAGGACTCTGGTCAGCCGCACAGTTGCCCCAGAAGGGTGGCCTGCGTACGCTGAACCCATTCTGAAGGGAAAAGGTCGGGTTCTCAGCCAGACTGACTGCAAGGCTGCAGCTTAACCTGCACCTAGAAATGTCTGCATTTGGGACCAGGCGAGAACACAGTCGTTTGGGGGTAAACAAATGACAACACATACAGGTTCTTTGAAGAACAAAAATCGTGGGTAATTTGTACATTTAATGGGATCTACAGTTGATGTTTTATTTAAAGAATGATTTACTTTGGGATGTTGCCCTGTGGTTGGGTTGTATAGGTCATATATCCATTGCTTTACCGTGTTGACATGGTTTCTCACTAAAACAAAACAGAACCATCCTGTGTGGTAGGCAAGATGGGTGGTGTGACTGTGCCCATTTTACAATGAAAAAATAGAGGGTCAGAATAGTTAAGGGACATATTCAAGATCCTACAGCTGATAAGTGGTTGAACTTTAAAAAAATTTAGCCCAGAATTAGGCTGAACACAAATCTTGTCCTCTTTTCGCCATAGTTTTTCCAGACTGTCTAGAAATCACATTATTAGGAGAGCTGTTGTTCACGTGGAAGTTACGGCATCAGAGACTAAAAAATACCTCTGTAGAGTGACGAGTGATTAATGATATGCCAATTTATGCAAAGTTTAGAGAAAAGTATCTGTTATTTGTGTCTTCTGATTGTCTCTACTCTTCTCTTTCTCCCCAGGATGATGAAGATAAGCTGACCTGGAAAGATCGTTTCCCAGGTTACCTGATAAACTTCGTCTCCATCTTGTTCATGGTAATTTCCTTGAGGGAACACCTGCCTATGACTTATGCTTGTTAGGTCCTGTTAAGTGAATACTGTGGGTGTGTTGTTTTGTTACACTTTGGGAATAATGAGGGGCTAATAAAGAGGAAGCCTCGGTCCCTGTGTAGAAGGACAGGATCTTAGCTGACAATGAGGCCAGGGATGGTGTCAGTCACCTGAAGAGGGGAAGGTGAGATCCCCTGACAGAAAACTAGACCTGGAAGGCTTCTGTGGCAGTTGAGGGAGTTTCTATCTTCTCAGAAAGAAGAGGGTAGAAGGGGGTTCTGTCTTCCCAGCCTTGACCACAGATGTTTGGAGTTGGAAGTTCCAGAGGTAGGTCATGAGCTGGCACCTTCCATGCTGGGACAGACCAAGACCTTGGAAGAAGTCATCAGGTAAGATGGCTACAGAATGATGGCAGCCTGGTTAAGCCGTGGGCTGGCTCTCTCTGCGTGGGCTGGCTCTCTCTGATGGTTTGTGGAATAGAACAGAGTCTGGGAGCTGCTGGAGACAGCCTGCCTGGGTTTTCTAAGCTGATCCTTCAGTTTCCCTGTAGTTGCCATGTTTATTTCTCTGCGTTCTTCCTGAGAGTTGAGGGGGACTTTTTGAGAGACCAGATGGTCTTAGCTGTGTCAGGGAAGGTAAAAAGGGGGTCTGTAATTCATATTTGGGTCATATCAATAAAGTGGAAGCAGGTTGATCTTAGGAGCCAGGATAAGTGAGCCAACAGTAACTGAAGCAAGAAGATCTTAGGATCTTTGCTGAAAATAACAAAAGGTAAAACTCAGAGGATGGAGCATAAGCCACTCAGGCATCTGCCCCCTCTTTATGGGTAGACTCCTTCTACTATTCAAGCCTGGAGCTTCTGTTTTACAAAGGAGAGTTGTATCCTTACAGCATTTCTAAGCAGGACTACACATCAGTTACAAGGGTGGGAGGATATTGTTTATTCTAAAAAAAAAAAAAAAGGGACTGAAATTATAATAATTTTCTGGACCTATTGGCCACAAGTAACTCTGATCTTGGCCTAAGGTTATTGTTGCCATCTTGGCCGTCAAGGGCAGGAACCATGTACTAGTCTCAGAAATATAAGTGAAGGAAGCATCTAATTCAGTAACTTATTTAGCAGATGAACTGCAGAGGTGATGGGGTCCTTGACAGAGCTTAGAAATCTACATTTGTTATCTTCTCATTGTTTAACAAGAGCAAGGCATGTAGAATTTATTCAACAACATGTGGTGAATTGCAGTGTGTTAAGCTGGAATGATATAAAGTTTAATTTAGCACTTCAAAGCCTCCCACAATATGCATCTCGTTGTCAGAGATTATTCATTCATGCAAGAAATATTTAATGGGTGCCAACTATGTGCTTGACGCTATTCTTAGGCATTGGGGATAGAGCAGAAAATAAAACAAAATAATCCCTCCCTCAAGGAGTTTATAGATAACAAATACGTACATAAAGCCCGGCCAGTGTGGCTCAGTGGTTGAGTGTTGACCCACGCACCAAGAGGTCTCCAGTTCCATTCTCGGTCAGGGCACATGCCCAGGTTGTGGGCCCGATCCCCAGTAGGGGGCATGCAGGAAGTGGCCAATAGATGTTCTCTCTCATTGATGTTTCTATTTCCCTCTCCCTCTCCCTTTCTCTCTCTCTAAAATTAATAAAAAGAAAAAAAAGTACATAAATAAGAAAATAGTTACATAAAATACTTCTACCTTTGTGATAGGTTAGAATATTTGTAACATCCTAACTTGCTGAAAATAACAACAAAAAATGGATAAATGTATTTTTCAATTTTCTTAAAGCCTTGAAGGGCTGACAGGATAGTGAGTCTAAACTCTTAGGGAAAATGGGAGGTGCTTTTACCTTGAGGACCTTTTTCCATCTAGACTTTGGTGTGGGTGGTTTTGTAGGGGCAAAGAGGGTAGAAATGAGGGGCAATGGCTGGCTCAAGGTGGGGATTCCAACAGGAGGTCCTCGCCAAATTAAAATGGAACTTCAAAGGGTTACATTCTCAGAATAAAGATGGTAGAACTGAACCCACCCCATTCCCCACTTAGACCACTGCAGAGAAAATTATGTTCAAAGTAGAACCAGGCAAAAAAAGGGAAGCAAAACCCTGTCCCCGAGCAGTGGCCATAGGCAATCCCCATTGCGGACTCACAGCCTGGTTCATCGCACGAGAGCACCAGGGCTTTACCCTGGAACAATGTAAAGCATGGGCTCAAGGGGTCAAGGAGGTGTTTATGAAAGAGGATTGTGTTATGAAATTTGGGCAACGAACTGGAGTATCAAATATCGTTCCCTCCTCCGTCCCCTGTGACTGAATCTTGGCAGAAGATTTCAGGATCACAGGCATGAGGATGGTGTTAGGGATGCCAGTGGCCAGATCAGCTGGGGATGTTTTACATAGATGACGAGAGCCAAGAAATGTCACATGCTGTGTCCATCTTCCCCACTGTCGTAGAGGCCAGCATGGACAAAGATTCATTTTGTCTTTCTTCTCCAACCCAGTATGTTGAGCTAAGGTTTCTTTCCTTTTTGAATGAACACTTTTTCAGATTTCTTTGTATATGACAGCGATGATCAGCAGCAACATCCTTCCTTCCTCTAGAGCTAGGTGCTTGAGCGCTACCCCCATGCCCCAGACAATCACTTACTTATACTTGTATTTTGGGAACTAACGATCAGAAACCTTCCTCCATTGCCTGGGTTATTGCATTGACCTCCTAACTGATCTCCCTGCTTTTATACTGTCCCCCTACTGATCTTTGTAAAATCTAGGTCCAATAGTGTCACTCTTCTGCTCAAAACTCTCTAAAGTCTTCACATCTTGTGTAATGTAGAGACAACATCCTATACTACAGGGCTGGCCCTCCTCCTCTCTACTGTCCAGCTTCCACTCCAACTCTCCCTGTGCTTAATTAGGTCCTTTCGGAACTGTCTCCGTCTCACCTACACCTTTCCTGACCACCCTATTTTAAATTGCAATCTTTCCCTATGTCCCTGTTCTGCTTTATTTGTTTCCATAGTATTTATCACACCAGGTAGACTATATATTTTACCTATTTACTAGTTTATTGTCTATCTTTCCCCATTAGAAGATCAACATCCAAGAAGTTTTATCTTTGTTCTCCAGTATATCCTTGACACCTAAAGTGGTGACTGGCACATAGTAGGTATACAAGATGTCTTTTATGAATGACTGAATGAGAAAATAAATGAATTAAGAAGATACAGGAGACAACTTATTATGTCAATGATAAAGTCATTAGTGTGTGTATTAAAAAAAATTGAGCTACTATTATGTGCCATGCCCTAGACTGGGCACTCTCCCGCTAGTTGCTTCTCCCAGAGGTTGCTTCTGCCTGTGCATGTCTATGTGCTCCTCTTTATTCTTTCCTCCAAGTGTTTCCCATAGAAAACAGCCCCAAAGCCACTTCTGTGGAGTTTCCTCTAGCTAATCCCCCGGCTCTCTGCTCAGAGCATACCAGAAGCTCATGAACTAAGGCCTGTGACTCTGTCCAGCTGCTACCAGGCTCCACAGTTGTTATATGTGCAATAGTTTTCTCAACTTTACTTCAGAATGCAAGTCCTATAGGGTAGGGATCTGACCTGTTCTCCTCCCCGTCTCTCTTGGAGTGTCAAATAGGGCTCTGGACTCTGTAGCTTGGCTTCCATTGCAATTTGGCTCAGCCCAGAAGTAAATTATGGGATTAAAACACCAAAAGCAACAAGGACCATGGTAATGTGACCATGTGCAGGGGATCAGCAAATCTTTGCTGAACAGGTTCCACACCGGAGGCACCTCTATGAAATGGCAGGAGGCACAGAATGTAGCACCAGACTGATCCTTCTTCTGGCCTATTTGGGGAGACTGATCACAAACCCCAAATATTTCCAGCATAGTGGTTTGCACAATAAGTGGTCAGAAAATGTTTATTGCATTTAATCACCTAAATCAGCAATACAATCAAAGTGGTGAAAATAGTGCTGGATTTAGTGCCAGATACGTGGGTTCTAATGTCAGGATGGGACTGTAGACTTTGCAGCTATAGAACAGGGTTCAGATCTCGGGTGTCACTAAATTGCATCTACAAAAGGCAGGTCATACGTGGTTATTAGAAGGATTAGTGCTGGTGAAGATATAATTTGAATAATGACACAGAGAGGATACAAATGGATCAGCTGTGGTTGATGATGATGTTATCATCATTAGTGTATCAACTCTACCATGTCCCCTCTCGACCTTGGATCAATCACATTGCTGTTTCTTGGGCCCCAATTCCTTATATGTGAGATCAAAGGCTAAACACGAATGATCCCTAAATGCTAGAATTTTTTAAATTCCTACCATGATCCAGGAGACTAGGGTGGTAGTCCATGCCTTGTGACCTTGAGTAAATCACTTTCCACACCTGTTTCTTCACCTGCAAAATTGTCTTGGAGCTGGGTTGGTGCTCCTCAAGCTCTTCCAGTTTGGAAACTGAATCTTGAGGTGCTTGTGGGAAACACCAAAGGAGAGGTTTGAAACCTGATTTCTATAATGAGATGAACAATCAAGACCAGAGAAGCTAAGATGGCAAAGAACAGCATCAGAGGGCTGGGGAGGGACATGTTGGAGGTGGGGCAGGGGAGATCGGGAGGGTGGGAAGGAAAGATTTCCCAAGTGAGGGGAGCAGTGCCACTAGAACTTGCAGGAGTCTTGTTAAAGTGCAGGTTGAGTCATGAAGCCTGGAGCTGTGCTTGAGATCCTGCATGTTAATCAAGCCCCCAGCTGATGGAGCAGGTTCCAGAGACAACCATTTGTGTAGCCAGGAAGAGTGTTCTTCCTTCCCTAGTTTAGCAGCTGGGCTTCTTAGAGAAGAAGCACAGAAGCTGATCTGCCCACATGTTTCTTCATGCACCACCCCCAAGACTCCAACGCAAAGGATGTTTTTGCCATTGTTGTTTTCCCCCAGTCATTCCCCCTAGCCCAATCCCAAGTACGCACACACACTCACTCACTCAGTCACTCACTCTTCAATGCCCTGGTCGCCCCCGCCTCATCATTACTTCCACCTCCATTGCTGGCCTTCACTGCAAAAGTGATTTTGGGGAAAAAGGATCTCGCAGCACATTTTCCAGGCCCCGACTGTCTGGCAGTGGCAATCCCAAAGGAACGGGAAGTGAAAATGTCTGCATTGTTGGAGAGCGATGATGTCAGGTCCAGGTTTTCCTTCTTACCTGGTAGTCATTCCTCCCTAGTCCTGGAGGCTGGGGTGGCTCCTGCTCCCACCCCTGCCCTGCATCAGAAGAGGGGCCTCCCACACAGTGATTTTCCCATCTAACCTGGACATACAAGTGTGTGCGTGCACACACCTGCACATGTACACACCCTCCCTCTACCCAGAGAACGCTGCCATCCTCTCCTCCTTAGGGAGGGCTTCTTTTTCACACTGTGGCCCACAGGGCAAGCACTAATATTTGTAAAGCACATGGGGATAAACAGCGGAGGCGGCCACCAGCACACCCCAGGCTTCAGCCCCCAGAGGTCTGAAGACATTCATACTCGGACACATCTGCAATCCATTCCTCGTTTGCAGCCCCCCCGAGTGTCATTCATGCAGCTTCCAAGCACTGCCCAGGCCTGAGCCCCTGCCCCACCACTCCTTCTAGGGAGACAGTGTACAGTCCAGGGCAATTTGTTTTCTCAGAGGGAACCTTTTACCTGCCCTTTCTCTCTCCATGGTTCCCATCTAGCACTCCATAGCCAGGGCCCACCTCACCGTCCCCTCGCCCCGGACGAAACAGGACCTCAACAGCCTCCTTTGCTAAAAGGATCCTAAGAAAGAAGACTTCACTTGACTGAAACAAATAAAATGTTTCTCTGAGCAGGTTTAACACCTAGCTGTTCCCTTTCTTCCCTCTGCGCCCATCTAAGAGGCTTCCTCAGGGTCCTTTCTGCTCCTGACTCTACTTCGGGAAACCGCCCTCTTGGGCTGTGACGGTCCGAAAAGCTCTTTATTATTCTTAGGTTCTAGAAAGAGGAAATGGCGTGCAGGGGGGTGCGTTGGGGGGTTGGGTTTGGGGGGTTCTAGGTCAGGTGGCTGCTAAACTTTCCTTTTAAACATAGCAGCCAGAGATCTGGGCACCAAATGAGAAATCTGAGTCCTCCATTTCAAAGGGCCTGGTTGAGAAATTTAGAGTGGTATGTTGTTTACCCCGAGGACTGAGAATATAAAAATCTCACTCCTGTGTTCTCTCCCTTTCTTCTCCTTTGCTCAACCTTCCCACACCCACCCCGTCAAGCTCTCACTCACCCCTTCTCAGATCAGACACCTTCCGTGGCTCACCATTTCCTTTCCTCGAGTCCCAGTTTAAATCTCATTGTGCCACACACTATTCCCTGAGTGCTCAGATCTGCTTGTTCCTCTGTATTCTCAGCCCCCTTATCAACTCTGTTCTTCATGTAGCAGTTAATACATCCTCGGGTTTACTATGGTTTAATAGGAAGTCACCTTTTCTCATAGCAGATTGAAAGCTCTCTAATACAAGGACTTATATCGTGTGTAATGTGCACACCATAGTCCCCAGCGTCTCCATTGTTAGTTCTTTGTATGTGTTCTGGGCTATTTGGAATCTGATAAAAATGGAAGACATTCTCTCCTGAAAAATGCATCTACACTCAGAATTTGTGTGAACATTTCATCCGGCCAGTGTGGCTCAGTGGTTGAGTGCTGACCCATGCACCAAGAGGTCGCCAGTTTGATTCTCGGTCAGGATACATGTCCAGGTTGTGGGTCTGATCCCCAGTGTGGGGCATGCAGGAGGAGGCCAATCAATGTTCTCTCTCATTGATGTTTCTCTCTCTTTCCTGCTCATTCCCTCTCTCTCTAAAATCAATAAAGGGAAAAAAATTTAAAAAAAAAAAGTTTAGAGTTTGCAGTTTCCTTGTTGCCCACAAGGGGCTCCAGATGAATAACATCTGACCTAACAAATAGTACTGTTGACTGAGCAAACAATAGGTGCTCAATAGTTGACCCTCCCTGTTTTTCCTCTGCAGATTGCCCTGACCTTCTCCATTGTCTTTGCTGTCATTGTGTATCGTATCACAATTGCGGCTGCTCTGTCTCTCAACAAGGACACACGCTCCAACGTCCGCGTGACAGTGACAGCGACGGCGGTCATCATCAACCTCGTGGTCATCCTCATCCTGGATGAGATATACGGTGCTGTGGCCAAGTGGCTCACCAAAATCGGTACTGTGCTGCCACATCATGTGTTTGCCCTAGGCACCCTGGAACATGGTCAATTCAGTGTGTGCAAGGTGTTCGGTAGTAAAGACCCAACATGAGAAAAGGGACAGGTACAAGGTGCTTTGTGCAGTGCATTCTAATTGGAGAAATGAGGAAGTACAGCGCTTGTGTGCTGGTTGGGCCCACCAAGGGCTCCCCTCAGGCAGAAATCCTTCTTGCAACAACTCTTATCAATTGTTCTCCCTCTTTGGTCTATGGCCTCACCATCCTCTAAGAATAATCCATGGGACTGTTCTTTTTAGCCTCACTTAGAAGCAAGACAGGTTCGACACTTCCTGTGAAAAATCTCAGCGTTTTAGCCCTCCTCATTTTCCCAGCAGCGTTTATAAAGTTGAGAAAGCCTCTTGATACTTGAGCCCAAGAGGGTCTTATCTCTTCCCACATTGTCAGAGGCCCCAGAAAATCCACACATTCCCTGTGCACTGAGCAGACTTCAAAGAGGCATATCAGACTTCCCAAGCTTCAAGCCAGTGAGAAAAATGCAGTGGCCTCAATATTCAGACGTGTCATTTGAGCCACAACCTGCTGTTGCCTGCACACCACTCTCTGGCATTTGTGCTTATTGGATGGGGGAGGGCTGAGAGCCGAGGCCCTTTCCCCATCGGATTTATTCTGGGTGGCCTGGATGCACCCCTTTCCTTCAGCGAATCCAGGGCCTAGGAGTCTCGGCCCCTTACTAGCCTCTGGGAAGTTGAATTAATGACCTGATGTCTTTAATTCACTGACCAGTGAGAAGCTAGACATTTGATAGGATACCCCCCTCCTCAAGAGAGCCTTCCCTGGAGGACCACAGAATTCCGGAAAGGCTTCACTATTTCCAGTTACTCTTCAGTGCCTTTCCCCGGCTGGGCCTCTATTCACAGTGAGCATTTACCTTGGGTTTCTATGTGGATCTAGGCAATTTACCATCTAGAGTGGCAGTTCCGCTCTCTTTAGGCTTGTGCATAATTGTAAGTGTTATCTATATTCCTTCATAAACTTCTTGAGACAAGTCGGCAGAGCATTTTACTTCCGCGTATTTAGTGGTGTGCAGGATTCTAGGGAAGCACTTAGGAGGACCATCCAACACTTCTGAGGGCTCAGGGGAGGCTCCGGAGGTAAAGGCATCCCGTTGGAGAGCTCGGAGATAAGTGGTGGTCAGATAGACACGTGCGAGGGGAGGAGGGGTGGGCGGGAGGAGAAGGTTCCTGGCAGAGGAAACAGAATGAGAAATCCGGCACTGGAGAGGGAGATCAGATCCCTCGGGGTCCAGAAGGGCGCACAGAGAAGGGGCATGTATACGATGAGTAGGGTGGGCCCAGAAAGTCGATGATACGTTTTGGGGGGTAGAAGACCTCAAATGCCAAGCTGAGGACTTCGCTTATATTCATGGAAAAGTGTTTGCAGGCGTCCAAAGGGGCATCTAGTGAAAAGCACCTATTTTCCTGGCCTGAGTACAGAACCGGCTGAGAAATAAAGCAAAGGCAGGTATAGGCACAAGCCAGGATATCAGCTTTAGATCTAGAAAAGCCTACATTGAAGGAAGCACCTTAACAGAAGAGCCAACGAGGCTTCCTAATACTGTATTCCAGACAGATTGACCCTCCCAGTGGTGGGTAATAGTGGCCAGGGCAGCCTTGCAAGTCTTAGGACATGGGTAGGGGCACAGAAGGACACCTGCTTCCTGCAGGCCCTTTGCTCCCCAAGGGAAGGGCAGAGGAGGGGGTAGGCAAGGAACACCAATGTCACCTTCCAGACTGACCACTGAGACGAGCTATTCCCCCTGCTGTCACCCAAGAGGTGAAATGAGTGAGGTAGGTGAGACAAGGCAGGACATCACAACGGCTCCCACTCCTTCCACATGGAAGAAACACCAGCCGTGGAAAGAAACGTGGCCTCGTCAGCTCCTGACTCAGTAGCTCCCAACACCACTGAGAATTTTTTTGAAGGGTGTGATGTGATGGGAGTTGTGTGTTTGCAGAATTACTTGGGCAGGAATACAGGATGCCAGAGGAATGAGAGCCTGGAAGATCTAAACGAAAGGAGATTCTGAGTATGTGGGCAGGAAGCAGGGAAGAGAGGAACAGGGAATGAGTGATGCAGAAATGTCTTCCTGCTGCCCATTTGCATCTCTTTATCTCCTTTTCTTACACAGCTCCAGAGAGTGGTAAAGACAGAACATAAGTAGAGTGGTTGACATTCAAAAACTCATTAGTAAGTATTTAGTGAGCACCTCCCAGGTACAAGGCTGGGCATATTCTCTTTGCATTGGGCCACAGAACAATTCCCATACTGTGAAGTTACATCCGCTGCTTCTAATAGCACTCCCTCACCCCCAAAGCTCAGGCCTGTCCAGGCTGCTAACCCAATGCTCAGGCCTCCATAAGAAAGTCTGTGCTCCGGAAAGGAGACGAAATTCTAGCAAGTACATTTTGTTCTTTGTGATAGCAAGACCCATAAGTTATTTTTAAGCTAAAAACATATTCTGTATCCCCTTTCATCTTCACAAAAACTATGTGTGGTCAGCAAGGGAAGTATTAGATCCTCATTATATGGAGGTTCAAACTCAGAATCTACCTCTAAAATGCGTATGTTTTTTGTACTATTTCTAATGTGAACTTCTTACTGTCTGGATTGAAGTGGTGTGTTGGGTCTCCACTCAGGAATCCATGCAGGTGTTATTCCGGGTTGTTGCGTGTGTCTGTCTTAGACTGGATGTCCCCAGACGCCCAGAGAGGTACTGCTGTGCAGTGGAAGGACCTCTAAATTCAGGAGTTCAGTGGAGAGAACTTGGAGTTCTAGACCTGGTTCCGTCTCCCTCCCTCCCCGAGCTGTGTGGCATTGGGCAAAGAGGGACCTTTTCTAAACCAAGTTTCATCCTCTTCCCCTTTCCTGTCCACAGATCGTCACCCCTATCTGGACTGTTGTCACATCCTAATGACCATGCCCTTGTGTTTAGTCTCTTTTCTGTGGGCCTCTATCTTAGAAATCCCTCTCAGTCAGCCGTTCTCTAACAGTGGGTTTGGGGGGCATCACTCCCATGCAACCCCTGCAGAGAGTTTCCTTTTGCCCTTAGGTCAGATGTAAACTAGCATTCGAGGCTCCCAACCCCCTCCTTCCCACTGTCCTCCTCCACCCCAGCCACCCACTCAACTCATAGTCACTCCAGACACTTGCCTTTGTGTTCCCACCTTGTGCCTTGCTCAGGCTGCTGTAACTGCCATAATGACCCCTGGTGACCCTCTCTTTCAAGGACCTCTCAAGGCCTGCCCCGCCATGGGTCCTGTTCTGGACACTCGGCCATCAGTGAGTTTTCTCCCACCCACATTTGAACTCTTGGGCCACAGATCATTTATTTGTTTTTTCTTCCTCAGACGTTGATTGAGTGCCTATTCGTGCCAGGAGCAATTCTGGAAACACAGCTGTAAACAGAAAGACATGGTCCCTACTTGTATTTACACTGTAGTGAGGGAAAGATGGACAATAGACAAGAACATTTGTGGAGAGTGAGAAAGCAGAACGGGAATGTATGAGAGCTGTTGGGGTTGTGCCCTTTGGATCAAGTGATCAAGAAAGGCCTGTCAGCCCTGGCCGGTTTGGCTCAGCGGTTAGAGCGTCGGCCTGCGGTACAGAGAGACCTGGGTTCGGTTCCCGCTAAGGGCACGTGCCTCAGTTGCAGTTTGTCCCCGGCCCTGGTTGGTCGTGCGGGTGGCAGCCACTCGATGTGTCCCTTCACGTCGATGTTTCTCTCTCTCTCTCTTCCTCTCTCTCCCTCCCGCTCTATCTGAACAAAAATGGAAAAATGTCCTCGGGTGAGGATAAAAAAAAAAAAGAAAGGCCTGTCAAAGTGGGAGCATTATAGGGGAGACCTGGTCAGTAGGAGGATACCAGCCACTCAGAGACGTGCAGGGAGGACTCTAGGGAGGGGCCACAGCATAGGCCAGTGCAGGAGGGTCACAGTACCACTGACGTGGTGGCTTATAAACTAGCAAAGTGAGAGTCAGCTTGGAGTGTACTGTCTACTCTGCTACTCTGATCACGAACTGCCTGGTACCATTCCTGTATTTGTGTGTGTTTCCCAAGATTAGAGTAGACAAGGCTGTGCTCGGGTAATAAATTCATCTTAAGATCTCAGTCACATAATGTGAAGTTGTTTATTTGTTCTTGCTCACACTACGTCTCTGGTGCGACAGGCCAGGGTCTGTGCTTCACACAGTCGCTGAGGGACCCAGACTGATGGAGGCCACGCGGACAGTGTCAGGGGGAGAGAGCTGGGGGGTCACACAGAGGCTGTGAAGCACTTCGGTTTAGAAGTGTCATCCATCACTGCTCACAGACTCTGGCGAGAACCAGCCTAATCATGGAGACACTGGAAGATATGCGGATGTGAGGGGACCCTGTGAACTTGAACGGTCTCTGCCACTTGCTGCAACCCGGCTACAAAGGCCCGGAGAACAGCTGCCCTGTCTTACCTTGCTCTTCATTCCCTTCGCAGTGCCTGCCTCAGGGTAGATCTTAGCCTAAGTTTGTTGAGGAAATTTGGGGGGAAGTCATCGCTTTCATTCATGCATTCGAAAACATTCTTTTCGGGGAATGCCCACAGGCTGGGCATCCTGTAAGCCTCAGTGGAGGCCAAAATGAGCATGTATGTACTCATCATTTCAACTTTGCCTGCTTACAAAAGGATTTGAGGAAATACGGAGGTGGATAAAGCAAGTGCAAAGTTGTCACAATGGGACAGTGACTGAAAAGTGCAACACAGATATCGAAAGACTTGAATTTTCCTTAAAGGCAAAGAGTAAGCACACTAGCGGAGAGGGTCACACACAGCAGGGGATGACAAGCGTACCTGCAGCGAAGGTATGGTTTCAGAGTCCCCCCGGCCCCCACGGGGACATGAATCTATGGAGAATGCTGCCCAATGGGGTGAGGATTCTGCCAGGCCGAGGGGCTTCCTTTGCCAT